AGGGTTGGAACCATATAACTCTACCATATCGCGATCCTTTTCCACTATCCAAAAGCTCTCATGTTTCTTTTTTGCACGCCCCCAAAGATTGCAAAGGAAATGAGACCCAAATGTTTTCTGTGACCATTAGTCTTCCATGCCCATATCATATGTCATACATTACTAGCCATTACCCTCCCAGAAACCGTATGCTACAATGCATAAATTATACGCAAGAGGACACCATACTAAAATATGATCACAAATCTCCTCCATCCTCTTACATAGAAAGTTACAATTGAGCATAATCTTTCCCCTTTTTATCAACTTGTCATTAGTAAGAATACATCTATATCTTGCTTCCTAAGCAAAGAAAGCAACTCTAGAAAGAGTATTCACTTTTTAGATTTGCCAGAAAGGAAACTTGTTCTATAATATATTATTCTTGGCTAAATAGTTATAGGAGGATCTGATCGTAAATATTCCTGTTGAGTTGAGTATCCAAATCGGTTGATCATAATTCTCATTCAGAAATGCAGAAGACAATGGGCTCAAGAGAGTTTCATATTCATTTATTTCCCAATCGTTAAGATTTCTTAATACCTTCATGTGCCACTCATTCCTCCCTCAAAGTCTCTATATGACTCGTTGACTGAAACATGCAATAGCAAAAATCTGTAGAAACCTGTTTCTAAGCACAGCCTCTTCAAGCCAAGGGTTCATTCAGAAGCTGGTTCTCTTCCCATTTCCAATTCTCCACCTAATACATGCTTAAATTTAACCCTTCCAATACACATTTTTTTCCACACCTCCCTTCCATATGGTCTTGTCAAAACTCTGGAGTATTGACCTCTATGTATTATATCAAAATTTGCCTCAATGACCCTCTTTGCGCCAAAGAATGCTGTTTTCTTCATGAACCGCCAAATCCTCATCTTTTTATCACTTCCCATGCCACCAAATCATATTTCTTTTTCTCTGTAGAAACTCCCCCTAAGAATTTACATTTAATTGCTTCCAATTTCTTAGCAACACTCACAAGAATTGTTAAAGGGATATATAGTAAAGGAGAAAGTTTGACAGTGTACTTTTAATGAGACGTAAAACGCGCACATTTGGATAATAAATTTTTCTTCCAGCCCTAACCCTCTGTCAAGGAATGTAGTTTTCCTTCATGAACCACCAAATCCTTTTTTTGTAGATCGTCTGGTTCATTTCTACTACAGATCTCAAACCCAACCCATCTTGAAGCAATGGTCTTTTTATCACTTTCCCTTCCATCAAATGATATTCGTTCTCTCATCAGAATTGCCCCATCATAATTTACACTGAATTATTTTAAAAAATCATAATTTACACTGAATTGCTTCCAATTTCTTAGCAATACTCACGAGAATTGTCAAAAGGGACATATAGTGAATGAGAAAGTTTGATAGTGTACTTTTATGAGTAAGATGCCCACATTTGGATAATAAATTTTTCTTCCAGTCTGCCAATCTCCTCAAACCTTCTCACGATGGGATCCTGCATCCTCGCATCTTTGTATTTTGCTCTCAAAGGCAGGTACTTGGTCGATAATTTCACCATTTTACACCTCAAGACTTTTGCCGATCTAGTAGTGTTACTCCCACTCTCACTAATTCTAATTTTGTAAGTTGATATTAAGACAACAAACCACTTGAAAGCATTGAGTAGTGCACCTTCTTCCTGTTCACAAAACACTAAGGTGTCATCTGCAAAAAATAAATGGGTTACCTCCTCAGTTAACTCATTCTCCCATTTTATGTCTGCTGGACAAACCCATCTCCCTAGTTCTCGACAGCAATTTGTTGAAGACTTTTATGGTAACAATAAATAATAGTGGAGATAGCAGGTCTCATTGCTTGAGACCTCTAGATGCTTTAAACAGAAAAGATGGACCCTATTCACTATAATCG